TATACAGACTGAAAAAGATTTTTTCCCCATATTATTTTAAACTTATTTTGGAGCAAAAAATTTCACGTTCAACTACAATTCCGTAAGCCTCGTATGTTCCTAGTGTAGACAGACATGCAGTGAAATGCATCTGTACCGGTTTACTTTTCATGACAAAGGGGACACAGAAAGAGATATGTCAGTATCGAACTAGGCCTCAGTAAAATAAGATGATGAGTCAAGGAAGTCTGTAGTCAGGTATCAGGCGGATAAGTGACAATTATTATGGCGAGTAATTCATGATACTTCTCCCTTTCGTATTGACAAAGTCTGTTTCCACAAATTGTTTCTTAAATCTTTACTATGTTTTGATTGTAGTCAACCCTAACTCTGCAAAAGTAATTGCAGTCTACCCAGGTAGATGTGTTCGATTATGTTCAAACACTCGTTCTTCATTCGAATACACAAATTAATAATCTTTCTCCGTTTATTGGATGTACACGTCGTAATTACTAGTATTCGAATTTCAACTTTTATATTCAGGGTGTGGTCTGGATGTCTTCTGAAACAGGTCATTTTACCTTTCCATTCACTCTAGGGTCTGGTCATTGGAAGCATTTTTTTATAATCATAGCCAAATGATAAAATAGTGGGCCCCTTCCTTATATTACTTTTGACTTTGTGTCTGGGTGGCTGTTATCTTACCTTACTATAATCATAGGAATAAAAGCTAGATTCCACGGGGCACGGTTGAACCAGTAACTAGTTAGAATAGCAGTACCTTGTAAATAAATATACTTGTGTGACATACATAATTAATTAGAATGTTCGAAATATATTGATTTAGTGTTCTTCAATTTCTCACTTTTTCGTCGTGAATACGTACTTTGTGTAATGCTTAGATCCTGTGTTGTCGGTTTTAACTGAGTACCAGTAGTTGTCTACGATGATCCGTTCAGGAATGACAATGTGAATAAGTGGTTGTACACTTTCTGCAACTAAAAAAGGATAGAACTAAGATTGTTTGTGAATAGGACTTATAATAACTTAATTTTGTGAGTATTCTGTCTGGCTGTTTTCTTATCATATTTATTGCTGTTATCTACGTACTTCATGCGTCAGTTTAGCGTTTAACATCAATAATCAAACCACATGTGAGTACCGTAATATGATTATTCTCAGTAAATTATACTGGAAACTTCAGTAATTAGTACTGTATCATTGTATTTTTATAAAATAAATTTATTCCGGTGTATTTATGCTCTACCACAGTGTTCAAGTTCTATTCTTATATCAACCAATCAGGATCATAATCATTAGGGAATGAGTTGACTAGACTTCTGTCAAACGTCCACTTGGCATTTCAAATGTTATTACAGTCATTCGGTGTATCATATATATTAGTCTCAATGACAGTAGACTTACTAGTTGCTCGAATATGCTTCCTAGCACTGACCGGCACAATTGTCCCTATCTCTTATAAGTATGTCGCTGTCAGATCCTCTGGACCTTATCGATGCGTTTTATAGTTGTGCTTAGGGCAGACTTTTGTGTTCATTATAAATCAGAGGAAGTTGATGGGCGTTAGAAAGTTACAAGGAGTTTACAGATTATATACTAACGATGCATTCTCCCGGGACGCACGATAACTTCCTTGTAACATTCCCGGCACCCAACAAGTTCAGCTAATTCATATCTAAAATTTTTGGAGACCTTTGTTTTACTACTGGTATGTTGTCTGCTTGCATCGACACAAGTCTGTGGTTTTAGTTCTCAGCACGTAATGTGGATATAGCAGCAACTGACATGTTTCAGTCTTTATTCATATTCACTATCTGTTGAGTAATAAGTTGTGATTTGGCTCATTAGGTTTAGCACTTTCATCCAATGTGCTACTGATTCGAATGCCGCTTTATTTGTTTCAACCTGGTCTGACTAGACAGCATCAGCAGGAGAATTATAGTCTGGTGCACAAAACATTTGTCACAGGTATGAGCTTAGATTTTCAAAGTGGAGCCATCGGAAGGCAGCTTGATGGCCATGCCAGCTAGTTGAACATTGATCGTGATCGTTATCGAGCTGAAGCCAGTAGTCATCCCACCTATTACAAACTAGTCCGAAATCCCCCCCGCCCTAAACGTGCATTACAGATCCAAGCACTTAACATCTATTGTGCACTTGGTTATACTAGGTTCTTAGGTATTTGGATTTTGAGCAGCTAGAATAGAATCAAAACCCTGCTTCAACTCTGTCGTGTTCGAGGTGTTAATTTTTGCACACATTTTGATAGCTTACTTCGTAAACTGTTTCTTAGGAAGGGACAGGTGTACTGCTCAGCATTTCTAAGTCAGTATCCTTACTGCCTAGGGATGCTCTGACGTACATCATCCTTCACACTTTTTAATCGGAATTTTACTCTATATGCCTATTTGTCTGCTGTATTGTCCACATAGTTGTGTTCAATTAACCTTATTTTAGACTATTGTATGCGACAAATTGAATTGTTGCATTCTTCAAGCGTGTTTTTTATCAAGTGTGTACACCTTCAACAACTTAAATTATAAATCCAACTTTGTCATTTAAAGGTCTTTGAGGTAAAATGTTATTAACAGTGCAGCATGTAACCTTTCAGTTAGTCTTATCAAGTCCTATTACTTACTTCAGCCCTAGTGCACTCAAAATCTAGACACTGAAAGATTGGCCTTAATAATATGTGCAGTAAATTGGATAGCCACATCTCATGTGTTCACATCAGTGCTAGGATGAAGGACATTGCACAACTAAATACAGTGATCAAGAAATAATTTCATCACTACGTTAATCAAAGCATGACTATAAGATGCAGTAGAATTGTTATTATTCTGTTAACCTATGTACGGTAGCACTTCATAAGCGTGATATTTAAGCGAAACTGTTGTGTGTTTCAAAGTTGATGATTTTGTTAGTCTTTTGTTCTAGCGCGTCATCTGTTTGATAATTTAGGGTGTTATTGATTCAAGGTTTGATAAAAAATAACATCTGCTGAACCTTTTTAATAGTTACTTATTCCATTAGAAAAAAAGTATAGAACGCTAGGCTGTGATATTCCCGTGTCAGGAATATTTAGCAATGAAAGTCGCTATTGAGTTCCTAGGAGTGCTTTTATGGTGTTCGAATTTTGTAAGCAAGGATTCAAGACGAATTCTTAGGAATTGATCCCTAAAGACAAATATCTGTTACAACCTGGGTTTCTGGGGTGTATAACATTTTATGACAAAATACTTGTTAGCCGTGTTATACAGAGTTTGTAATTGCGTTAATGAAATGCAATACACGTATTCATCTATTCAAAAGTGAATCTGTGATCATCCACTGGCTTCGAAATCTGGTAGATGCGTAGATGAGTCCCAAGGAGGGACGAAACAGCTGTCTAGTATTGCAGTGTTGGTTCTTTTCTTCAGTCTGCTTTCCACCAATTATGTAACGTTTAAGTGTTTCTTCAACAATTCAACTTTCCCTTACAACTATTTTAATTGTTTTGTTCGGGAATAGTGTAGACCTGCTATCATGTATACAACTTGACAGTAAAATAGATCAGTCGTAGAATATCTCGTAGTTCCATTGTGAAAGTATGCAAAACAAAACCCTCACGGCTTCTGGAAGGCATTATTCCATCTTTTACCATGGTTTGTTTGTATGCTGAAATTATTAACTTTTCATCCAGGGGTTCAATTTATAGGTCTTTGTACTGATGAAACACCTTAAAATGCTAGTGCGTAACATCACAGCACTCCGCTGTGGGTTTAAATAAGTTATTCGACTTGTCGGCAATGTTGAAAATTAGAAGGAAGTGTGGATTTATTAGGCATTTTTTGACAGAATAAATAGTTTGAAACAGTAAAGCTTTTGCACAGTTAAACACTATCAAAGTTGTCTCAGTTGGGTTTGGTTTAAGTGTCAAGTATTACTGGCTACTATGATTCGTTTACAGCTACTTATATCAATAAGAAAACACGTGTTATAGTATATATGTATATGTGATGTTTGTTATACTCATTCAACACTTGTTTGGTTTGAAATAACTTCCACTAATAGGCATTCGCTATCTTTAGAGTTGTCAAATGACTATAGTCATTTTGACTGCAGATCTCAGAACTATGAAGCACTCAATTATTTCGTCTGATACTATTTCTAACCCCCATGTATCTTCATAAAGTATTGGGGGGGATGACCGTAATAGTGTATTTTATCAGTCTCGGCAGTAAAAGTTACTTTTTAAGTGCACTGAAGTCCGGTGAAATTATCTACCAATATACCAAGTCTTTTAAATGTATTTATCAGACCTACGGAGATCTGCATTATTATTTTGAATATCGATTAGCATTTAATAACTCATCACATTTTATGTGTCAAACTCCTAACAATGTCATAAATTTGCATACACGTAATTATTCACGCTTTGATGGATCATTAAATGTTAGATTTATATAAAATCACATCATTATCTTTGACAGGACAATGTTTTCAATACAAATTTACTTTGCCACTGCCCTTATATAATCTCCACTGGCAAGTTCTCAGGTGCAACAAAACTAGTTGTGAATATTTGTTTGATTGTATTGGAATTATAAATAGTCGACTTTTGAGTTTATGACAAATGGAAGCCGTGTCGCTGTGAACCTCTCTTAGTTATGAGATACCAACACAGTCGTGTCAACTCTGACTACATTGGAGATTATCCAGTAAATACGACAAACAACTTTCTCGAGCTGTTATGTACCTAGTAAATTTGTTAGTGGTGTTATTCTATATACCGAATATTTATAACGACAGTCTACTGTTGGACATAGTTGCTAGTTCCTTTGAACTTGAACACCTGTGATGAAAACCTCATGCATTTCCCCAAGTCGAACGTGCTGATGTGCATATGAACAGATAGAAATGTAAGTTTTTCGTTTTATATTTAGTGGTTTTCTTGAATAATTTGAAATGTATCCGTTACCTGATTCTCCTGTTTTTGATTTTTTTGAAAATGTTCACAGGTACCCACCTCTATTTCAGTCACTGACAGTGGCGTTCCAAGTACCGTACACATCGATATCAACATTGGATCAGTTCATTCTGCTTCAAAATACTCGCATCCAACATCTTTGGGAATTGTCTGTTCAGATCATGCATCAGATGTCCTTGTTGACTTAAATCCTCCTCTTTCCTTGACTGCAATAGCTCCTGGGAACTCTTCAGACCATCGATTGCTGCAATTCACTGATGATCTTGGTTTGTGCATTAAACCGTCACCTGACGTGTCACCCATAGCCGACGATGACGAAGATGTTCGATCTCTCCTGGCAGCAGCAGCAGCCGTCGCTGCTGCAGATAACAGGATTTCACAATCCTCACCAACAGTCCGTTCATCCTCTGGGCTGAACACTCCTCCTGATGCAAGAAGCAGTCGAGTTACAGATATTGTCACTTGTAGGCCAATGTCAGTTGGTGTATGTGTTCAGACTCCGACTATTCATTCGGAAGATAGTGTTTCAATGTTGGTTTCGCGCCACGGTTTGACAGGAACACCTTATGAAAACAATGATGATCCTCTCACAATTTTACTGCCAACTTCTAATACACAGTCAGTGTCTTCAAGTTATTTACTTTCATCAAACGTTCCTACACCATGCAGCTCTCCTCTGACTTTCCGATCTCATTCTCCTATACACAACCCTCATCTAGGAGGTATACATACACCAACACTACTACATCACAATCTATCTTGTGAATCGCACCCCATTAATAATGAACGCTCAAATGCTTCCTTCTCATCACTTTCTCATTTCCCTTCCCCAGATACACCCCCTTCGCATACGGATAGTTATACAACTTGTCAAAATCAAGATAGTCAAGTTTTTGGTACAAATCTTATGACACTAAAAGATGCAATTCATCCACCACCTTGTACATCATTAAGTCCCACCAAAGGAGTTCCAGAATGTAATACATCTGGTCGCGTATCTGTACCTCCATGCTTGCCAGTTAGCGAACATGTTACAGTAAAAGTTTTAAGCCCGGGAAATGCATCAGAACAATATAACACTTGTCCATCGACGAGCATATCTAATGTGTCAGATAATATTTCGCACAACTGGAAAAATACACCCACTTGCGGAACAGATATTCAGGCAGCAGAAACTTGTAAACTCTTAGATAGTGGTTTTGATTCTGTCTCTAAAGCTACTGATGAAAATCTAATGGATTTAGAACAAGTTATTTCTTCGCATTCAGCATCACTGGCGGAGGTTGACGATGAGTATTTTTTGAAAACTTCCAGTGATTTCCATGTGAACACAGTGGTAAATATTGATCTCACTTGTATTTCTCACTCAGATGAAGTACATTCTTCTGCAGACAGCACTATTGACAAATCGCCTAAGACATCTACTCTTTGCCCAGCTGAACCAGATTTCCCTGAAATTTATACAGATGGCCCAGATGGAAATGAAACTACCAATACTGTGATATTACCTCATGAACCAACAAATGGTAGTCAGCCAATAACAACAACAGCGACAACTCAATCACCCTCTGTAATAATGCCTGTTGAAGACACAGTTAAGCTCGAATGTGTAGACAAAAGTCCAGACAAAGAACGTTTCTCTCAGTCATCATTGAAAAATACATCTGAGTCTCAAGACAGTACTAGTGATTGTAAGACAATCGCATCTGATTCCCCTCTTGTTCAAGCTGTTACTACTGGTGAATTGTGTCAGCCTGAAAACTCACCAATAGCGAATAGCTCTGTGATTCTTAAGTCCCCAACAAATGATGTGAATAATTCAATCAAGATAAGTGATGAAGAGCAAGATTTAATATTTGATTTAAATGATGATAAATTAGAAGATACGCATGATCCTCAGCCTAGTAGACAGTCTTCTGTTCAGTCCTCTAAAGAAGTGGATGAAGAAAAAGTGTACAATGATGCAGAATATGCAGCTGCAGCTGTTGCTGCTGTTGACGATGTAGTCTATGCTTTGGCTGGAAACCGTAAACCTGATCCCTCTATACCGCTTGATCCAGCTTTAGAAGGAACAGGAACAGATCGTTTATACAGCTTGAGTTTAGCTCCGGTTCATAATGGTTTGAGCAGTAGTTCACAAATGAATGTTTCCAGTTCACATTTGTGTAGTACAGCAAATTTTCTTACACTTAACGCAAATTCAGTGAGTTTGATTATCAGTTTTTTGTTTTTGTTAGTAAATTTAATTGAATGTGTCCATTCTGTATCACCATTCACTACAGATTTCCTTTTTTCACCAGAAATATTGAAATAACTCAAAATGAATTCCATTTTATTCAAAGAAGCTGGTTGTGATAGTTCAGGCTTTCTTTGTATTTCATCTTGTAGCTAAGTAACTAGTTTGTTCAAGTGTTGGTTTGCAGGGACTTGATTGGTTACAAGATTTCATCATGAGCGGATATTGGAAAACCCGGCAGTACTGGACGACTGTTACGTCAGCCTAGCTTGCGACTCTTGATCAGTATGCTCCCACCGACAGGGTTTGAACCCAGGGCCTACTGGTTACAAGGCAAGCTCGAAGACTATTAAGCCACTGGGACCCGGTCCAATGGTCAGTCCCCGGGAATTCCAACTTCTCGATATAGCGGGACCACCAGCCAGTGTCATCGGCTCATGATGAAATCCTGTGACCAATCAAATCCCTACAAACCAACATTTGAATATCAATCTGATGCTCACTTGCTTCCGGCTCTATTCAGGTTGATAGTTACCTGGGTTCTGTTGAGAAGTCTTGACCAGTGCGGGGTGCAGCAGGCGGGGTGTGAGGACAAATACTCGCCGATAACTATTGTAGCTTCTCTGTGCTAATGAATGAATAGTAAGTTCCATACTCTTGCGAATTTTCCTGCATTAACGTTAATCCTTTAAGCCGCAACAGTTTAACAGAATATCGATAAATAATAGGAAAGTAGTTAGTAAAAAGTGGAAATATATGTTTCTTCAAAGTTCGAAATATGTGTCTTTAATGAGTACTTGAATCAAGACTTCCCTTCGACTAGCTGTAATCCATTTTTACTTTTTAAGTATTGATTTTCAGGGATTTGGTTGGTTTCAGTTTAAATCACGAAGTGACATTAACCAGGAAAGTGTTGAAAATCAGGGAGTGGTGTGCACCTGTGTGCCGTTCTAGTTCGGGACTCTTCAGCAGCACACACGACCCTACCGTGGGTCGAGCTGTCAGACGGGTTCGTTGACCATTTGGTCACTGAAACAGAATTGAATGACGTATGAGTTATAGCTTCTGCCAATTTGCTATATACAGACTAATTGCCATTCCAGTTTTTTCCCTCACACCCGACTGGTCCTGACTTTTCACTATAACTCCAAACAACGTCACCCAATTTTTTCTAGCGACTGACTACAGGATGAAGTGACCTGTGTTGTCCTAGTGAGAAGTCGAGATCAGTTTGATTCGCCTAGTTGGGAGTGAGAACGCATACTCACCGACGACATTGGCTGACCACAGCACTGCATGTTGCGAGTTCTTCTGGGTACGATTCACTAAAAAATTCTAATCACAATCGTTCCCTCCTAATAACTTCAGCCTTACTTATAGTTCAGCTGTTTACTTCAAATAAAACCTCTGAAATAATTCATTTTGCCTGCACAGTTATACACCAAATAAACTACTAAAGTCGTATTTGCTTTAAATTAAATTCCGAGAGCATTTTTGTTTTTCTTTTCAATGGAGTTGGCATTCTTTAAAGATTATTGCCATGTAAGGCAGTATATATCTAGTTAGTATATAATCGCAATTTAGGTTTACACTCTTGGGTATTTGGTTAGTACTACTACTAAGCAATGGTTCAACGTAAAAGCTGTTTGTATAGTAACTTCAAGAGAATGTTTTCTTATCTTTTAGAAGTTCTCGCTAACGGCATGTATGAGGACGAAACAGACTCACAAATGAATCATATAGTTCAGAGAATGTTATCATAGTGTGTCTCAATAAACTCTAAATGAGTAATTACTAAATTAGATTATATTTTTAAAGACACTCTGCGTAGATGAACATTTAGTATCTGATTCACGTATCAGTAACAGACTAAAGAACGACTTAAGGTTGAGTAGCGTTCATCATTTACCCAAAAGTACAAGTATTCTAAAATAGTTGCACGTCGTCGGCACAGCGGTTAGGACTCTCGCCGACCATGCAGATGGTCCGGGGTTCGATCCCCTGCCGACGCACACCTGATATCAATGGTTGGCCTGCAAAATTTGGACTACCGATATCACGTGCTAAAAATTCCATACTTGTACCAAAAATACTGTGTGGTTTCAAGCTATAATCAAAATAAAAAATAAATAAATATGTTTTCATCTGTTTGAAACGTATATGATAGAGAAGATACAGTACAAAAGCCACACCATTCGAAATATTACTATCAGTGGTAGTCGGCATTTATGCACTGTTTTGTTATGAAATATTTAAGTCTAGATTTGTGTCACCATTGGAGTAATGATACTTAGAGTTGAGATAACTAACTGATTTCAATATACTAAATATTCCATTGTGTTGTTCTAAACTAACTGATTGGCTGGTTTCAACATAGAACTTTGCACAGATGTACAGTAGTTCGAGTTATCACACACAAAGGAAGGCAAAGGAAAAAAACAAATATTTGGAAGAACGATAATAAACAGAAATGTGAGGGAGAAAGAAGAGTAACATAGAAAACAATAGAGTATAGTGGATGAGGCAAGTCACAAGGTGTGAATGCAAATGCACCATTGAAGACGAGTTTTAGCCATATCAACAATTGTCTCCAGCCATTGTTTCTTACCATCCGGAGGACCCCAGCCAGTCAGGATGCCTACACCTCCCTACGTGGCTCAAACTAAATGTCAAAGACTTCATTGACTGATGAAGTCATGTTTTCGTTCGACCACCACCAGTTCTTTTCCAACCTGATGCTATGTTAGCTAACATTTCCCGTCGGGGAGGTGATGGCTAGACATGCGTAACAAATATCCTAATCATCTTAATCGATGTAACTTCACAACCTCATTGATAAATTTTCCCTCTTTACCCAACATTCAACTCCTCACCTCAGTATCACTCACGCTGTTCTACCACCTAACATGGGAACATAGTACATACAACAGCTAGCTTTCTCACGTCTTTCACTTTCAATGGTCATGTCTTACAGTCAGCCATAAAGGGGGACGGGGCAAACTGCTGAACAGTAGCCAAGTCCTTTGGTCGACAGCCAGACATCACGTCTACAACGGAAATGACTCAAGTTGGCAAATGCCACACAAGCCTTTTGTATCCGTGCTGAGATTTCGTCAGCAATCGACCAGCTGGGGTTGATGCAACTTCTCAAATAAGTGAAGTTGTCAACACGCTCTACCACTTCACTCCCTATCTTTAAGCTTGGCGTCAATGTAGTCCAATCCTGTTGCTTCATCTTACATTTGACAGGAGCGCACCACATGCCAAACATTTGATGCTTTCAGTTCATAATGTTCAGAAAACTCTGCTGTATTTTGTCAGCATCACCTAAGAGCACTATATTATCCGCACATTCTAAGTCAACGAGATTATACCCTGGTAACAAGTCAATCCCTGAGTCGTTGAAATCAGTTAGAGTTAAGTTCATTAGTACATATATGATGAAATTAAGCAGAACCGAGTCGAGATAGTGCAACTTATTTTAAAACTCTTACAAATCTGATATTAATGTTTTCACAACTTATTTTATCATATATATATATATATATATATATATATATATATATATATATATATTCTCAATGTTAACATGAACTATGGCTTATGATTTTCACCTTTAGAAGAATAATAAGCACCATGCTTCTTATCTTATAATTTCACTGTTGAGAACATATGTCGTTAGAAGTTCTAAGTGGCCTCTCAAATGTAACACACTAGACCCAAAATAGCATTTGTAAACACGCTTAACCTGCACATTACTTTTCTCTACCATTGTACACGTTGTGGTATGGTAGTGAAGTTCATCAACATCGTTTAGTGTGAAGAATCTTACTGATTTCTAAAACTTGCTGACCACTAAGGTAGGGCATTAGTAGTAGAAAACCATTCACCTTAATTTACCACCATCAACTATCGTACTGGACTGAAAGTTTAGATGTGGTATTTTGCTCGAATTCTAAACGTATGTATTATCACCGTAGATGAATGCAAAACGGTGATCTAGATCTTCTCAGGTGTGTCTATGATCGTCTTGATTTAGTCTGAGATTTTGGACATTCTGGATAGTCAACAAAGTCTGCAGCCATATCTTGCACCGGCTGTATCAGTTGTGTACCTTCAATTTATCAAAAGTACAATTTCGGAATTCAAGCATCTTGTTACAGTTTACAGGAGAAGCTTGAAGAAATTCCTATACTAGTCTCACTTTTAGTACCCTTACACAGAATGGGCTGAAATTTATATCTCACTATTAACAACATTTTTAATCTATTTGTTTGTGTGCCATATGTCATGTGTATCCGCTCTCAGTTTTCATTAAGTCCAATTTCTTTTTATTTGATCTCATAAGCTATACTAAGTTTTTGTTTTGAAATGTTTTCACTGAAATAGGATCATGTGGTTACTTTGTCTTCTGGTAGTAATCAGGACCGTGCCAGTTTTCATCAAACCATGACAATCAATGAATCTTCAGATGGTGAAGTTGGCCTAGACGATCGTCTGTCCAAAAGTCTATCGAATCTAACCTCTAACAGCTGGAATAAAAGTGACGTGAAAGGTGACTTCTTATGCTTAACCTGTCATAAAGCGTTTCCTCAAAAAGCTTTGCTACTCAAGCATCGAGTTATGCATGAAGAACCAAAGCACATGTGTGACACTTGTGGTCGTAGTTTTGTGCGTGAGGATAAACTTAAGCGTCATGTGATGTCTATTCATACGGCTGAGAAACCGCATGTTTGTCACATATGCAGTAAAGCTTTTTCACGCAAGTGAGTCATTATCTTCTATTTCATTATTTTTTATTATTTGATAATTTTTCGAGTAAATCAATTTCTGACTAAAATAATTTCTGATTACTAATTAACCTAGTGTGACTAATCTGTTGGATGCAAGAATGTTTCATGAAATTAGAAGAAAACCCGTGTAAGAAATGAATTCTAGTCAGGGATATTCTCTTAGCACTTATTTCATTGTATTGTGATACGCGTAACTTCGAACTGGATTTCAATTTTCATCACTCATAATGCATGCGTAACTGACTTCTTTCACTTAGAATTTCCACACCTGACTTTAGCACTTCCCCACGTCTTGTAGGTTAGTTATCACGACCAGTAGGTGCCACCCTAAAGTAGTTGTCGGGCTTTTAGGTGACCTAACGAGCTACTCAGGCTGGAACAAATGTCTCTGCAGGGCCTGCAATCCCAGAAAAGTCGTTCGGATAGCAGTTATATTTATTGTTTTTTAAAATACAAACTTGGCACATTATGGTGACCAAGAAATGCGTCACTCAGAATCCCATAGTTTCTGCGAGGGTTGAAATACTGCCTTGATGTTCAGACCGAAGCAGATAGTTGTCTTAAGGGGGTCATCCCTCGAGCCTTTGACTTGAAGTTTGATTCACAAAGCTGTGAAGCAACGTCAGGAGTTACGTCTCCATGGTCACCATGCACCATTTGTCTTTTTGGACTCTGTAGCTAATGTTCACCATAGGTTTGGAATCGGGGTTTTCTTAGCTCCCCTTAGGTGCGTTCACTAACCTGGTTGTAGACACCAGACGTCCACACTCTTCCTGTCACTTTTCGGGAGAACACTCCGTCTCGTGAAGGCAGTGAGAATATGACTTAAGCGGCACAGGCTGTGAACGCGCGGTTACATGAGAGCATTTCGGAGTGAAGAATGAAGTCTGCCCACCCTCAGCCGTTCCAAGTTGTTTATGTGGGTCTGAATAGCGATTAGAGTAAAATTTGTCACCGCCATATTGTATGTAAGTCGCTCAGCTTATGTTAGGGGTCTCCAAGCGAAGTACTACTGATGGATATGGGTGTAATAGCCGTAAAGTGTGTGTTTCCTTCTGACTACTAAAACACCAGCTATGCTGGACCCCAAAAATTGTACATCCCGACCTACCTTGCTGTGGTCCGCAGCCGGCGGTAAGACAGACACCAAAGCTACTTACTTCAAGTAGGTTGTGACCACCTTCAACCAGTTATCGCCTCTGGAGTCTTCGATGACATCACACTAATGCCGCTTCTGTTTGAGGTATTTCGACAAGAAATCAACATCCACGGTGTGGATAGTCCAGACACTTTCAGTATCGGTAGTTCGTTTCAATCATACAAATACACAGGTCGGGAAACATATAGTTCATATATCATGTTTTCGCTTCAATATATAATAATGTTAACTATCATAATGATGTTGTTTCTCTGGTGGGTATTTCATTTTTTTTCTTCGTTGTTTCATCTCAACGCGTCCACTGGTAACCCACATTCAACGCTTAGTTTACTCTATTCAGTGTTACTCAGATAAGAATTAAGTTATTTGTAAATGGCGCAGACTAACCCGTATATATATGTATGTATATACGTATCGTGAAAATCCTGGTCTGGTTCATATTCTGTTTTTCTAAGTTTTGTAAAAAAATATACGAGAATAAACTTGTTATGTAAGGTATACTACATTCAGCCAAATAAGTAATTTCTTAATTAGAAAGTTCTATGTTTACTGTGAAAAGTAAAATCTATTGTTCACTCGTATTGTGTCATTTGAAGTCATTAGTAGCTGAGAGGCCTAAAATTTCATCTGAAATGTTGTCTGTATTTTACTGGCGTCTTGTGTGTATGTGTGTGTGCGTGTCCTGGAAACACATTGATCACTGTCGTGACTGCGATTCGTATTTAACTCTTTTTGTAATTTCAGTGTTGTATTTCTCTATAATCTGTTGCCAGGAGTGTGTACTGTGTTGTCTAGATCTATACCCTTTCTTCTCGGTCAGCATAATTTTTAGTCAGTGAGTGAGTGAGTGAGTGAGTGACATCCCTAGTGGGGACGCGAAATTTGATCATCGGATGTTCTTGGTTTTCTGCTGGTCATATTCTATTGTCAAAGAATGTTTTCAACTGCATATTTGATATTAGTCATTGAGGTTAAGATGGGTTGTTCATAAGAAATTCCGGTTGAAGTCGCTTGCGTGCGTGTGTGTGTGTTTGTGTTTACAGTAAAAATGGTACGATTTACGAAATCGCTGTTTCTATTCATCACCAGCTTTAGATGGCCATACCCCTTCTAGCGCTGTAGAGGCTGACTGACTGACTGACTAACTGGCTAGTTTAAACATAGAACTTTGCGCTAAAGTACAGCGTTTCAAGTTGCTATACTCCATGTAGCACACAAAGAAAGACAAAAGAGACTCAAAGGAACGATAATACACGGAAATGTGAAGAAGAAAGAATGGTAATATAGAGAAACAATAAGGTATTTTTGGATATGGTAGGCCACAGGGGGAGTGATTGCATCTGAGCCACTGAGAGCGATTTTTAGCCATACTGTGGCGAGTGTTACTGATAAGATTTATCAGTAGTATATAAAGAGATGTTCGTCGGCGTAAAAACACCAAACAGCAGCCAGATACATTTGATTTCGGAGAAAGTAAATGATACAGCGTTGTGGAGATACATGGGAGATGTGAAACGAACAAAAAGAAACACGACATGAAGTCCAGAAGTATCACAACACGAAGACCTGTGTAAATGGTGCGCTGAAGATAGGGTATACATAATTTGGCTATATAGAGATACCAATTTCCAAATAAACATTCATTTACCAAGTCTTCATCTTCGACTGTTTCAATGCCACCACTTCTCACCAGCTGCCATTGGTTCTTACCATCCCGAGAACTCCAATCATCAGGTGGTCTACACCTCCCCATGTGGCTCAACCTAACTGTTAAAGATTTCATGGACTGATTCCTTGTTTTGGTTTGACCACCACTAGCTGACATTGCCCGTTGTCGAGGAAGGCGATCGATGGCTAGGCATGCATCTTAATAGGTGTACCTACACAACTTCATCGATTGATTTTCCCTTCTTACCTAACACTCGACACCTAACGTCAATATTACTCTGTCTCTATTATACCATGCAACATCGGAGACAGTAGGCAGACACACCTGTGATCAAAGACATCTAGCCTTCTCGTTATTTCTTCCATTTTCAATGGTCATGTCTCACAGCACTGTAGAGAGACTATCGGTATGCAAACTGTTGACTCAGGTTATCTCTTTTGCCATTGGAGGTGCTTTTATCACAAAATTCTCTGAAATGAAATTATACTATCAAGCTTAGTTGAACTTATTTTTCACACGTCCACTAGTGTTTAATTATTTCTTAACATTATTTCATTTGACAGAGACAAACTTAAAGATCATTTAAAACATCATGATCGTGCAGCCAGAAATTTCGAGTGTCAACAATGTCAACAACCATTTGTACAAAAATCTGACCTCAATAGGCATATTCGTGGAGTACATCAAGGTGAGCCAGGAGTCGGTATAAATATGACGGTTAAACGTAAAGCACCAGGTAGGTCCTGTTATTATGGTTGTTATCGTTGTTGTTGTTTGTATGCATTTCATTGATTTTCTCTCATATTCTGTTCGTTTATGATTAATTCAGTTCACCGCCTACCCTCCTTCATGTACTTCGAAGTTGGAAGCGACAACTAGATATCCTTGTTACATTAATCATCATTATTATTATTTCATTAATGTTCCCTTGGATTCCGATTGGAACATAAGGCTTCAACAGTACATCTCCTTATCTGGCCCCAAGATTGCTCATAGTCTCTCATCCCCGCCTCGCAAGATCTCCGTGTTACTCTCGGATGCCCTACTCGTCATTTTTCATTTGAGCTTTACTCGAGCGATGGTCTACTGCGCGTGATGTCATTCGATGGTCTTCTCCATTACATGTGTCCTATTCATCTCTATTTCTTCCACATGTTTGTTGAGCAATAGGTTCTCGCCTGTTGTTTCGTTCATTGCCAGAGTTCCTTGTTGTTAATTCTTTCTGGCCGGTCAGCCGGCCATTTGCTCTCCAATATGGAGCTAGCGAATGAGGCAGCTGTTGATAAAAGTCTGCAGTGACCTGTTACAAATGCTTTTCTTGACGCTCAGTGCAAGTTTGCAACCCATATAGAAGAAAATCTGACTGACTCACTTGACATAGGTGTTGAAGTCCGAATCTCCATGTGTATGCTGACTGAGTTCAGAAGATTTCCAAACTGATTTCAGAGTGGAGAGGGTGTGCGTTGCCTTTCTGATTCTGGTTTTGACATTTTCATCCCCGCCGACGACTGGTGCTTCCTAGAGAGATAAATGAAGGTAGGAAGCAATTTATTTCTTATTTATTTCGTTGATAGTGATTGTTGCTTGCTGTTTTTATTGTTGTTGTTGTTGCGGTTAGTTGGTTATTTTCATCGCCTGCATCTTCTCTATATTCACCACGTGGAATCCTTTCTTTGCTGCTTTTTTCTTCTGCCAACTTGTTGGTTATCGTGTGTAGGTCTTCGAGTTTGTTTGAAATTGGTGTGACACAAATGATGCACGTGCGAAATGCAGATCTTATGTAGTCTTTTTGTCGGTGGTCCAACATATTCTTGTGTTCTCTCCCTCCACCCACAGTCTGACACATAATCCAGTGGACCACACTTAGGAATATCATCGTTGGTGATAGTAGGCAACCAGTTTTGTGTTACTCCTGTATTCACTTCGAACGCCTCACTGAGTTCTACGTTCTGGATGATTAGAATGTCTATTTCTTGAAGTTCTTTTTGTAATAGATTTTATTGCCCAGCGGATTATTGCAAACAAATAAACAGTAAGAAGTTAGTATTTTTTTTGGTCTGAGACCATCAGAACTTAAATCTTTTCTCATTCCCTGCTTTATGAATAGGCCATGGGGCTTCAGGCATTAAGCTTTGAAGTTTCCGTAGCCTTGTCGTCTCTTGTACGCGCTAGGGGGTCCTAACCTCATGCACATTACCTTCATTCTTTTCTTGGCTTACTTCTATTGATTGACCAGAGAGGGTTTGTGGGTGCGTCATTTGTCGTCAGGGAATCAAACCTAGATCTCCTGTGGGATTGAGGAGCATTCCATCAATAAACCACTGATGCATAAACATGGTCAGAGTAGGGCGCATTCAGAGGGACTACAAATTTCGTCGAATCCTGCACGTAACCACAAAACTGCGTTGTATCCCATCTCGCCTGACAGATCCGGCAACATATGCGATCTCGGATTTACATTTATGTCTTGTATACAAATGTTTCTCTTAAATTATAATTAAGCTGTATTCATCTTAGTGATTTAATCCATAGGGTCAGGCTGGAAAAGAGCTAGTGGCGGTCAAACCAAAACATGGCACCAGTCAATGAAATCTACAACAGTCAGTTTAAGCCACGTAGGAAGATGTAGACTTCCTGGTTGGGGTCCTCGGGACGGTAAAAACCAATGGTTAGAAACAATTGGTGACATGGCTCAAAATCGTTCTCAGTGGCGCAAATGCATCCACTCCTTGTGACTTATGATTTCCAATGAAACTGTTTTGTTCTCCGTTATTACTATACCTTTGTCTCACACCTCTGTTTACTGTGTCTCTATTATGCATTTCTTCTACTTTCTTCTCTTGCTTTGCGTGCTACACGGAGTGTAGCGGCTTGAACTGCTGCACATATGTGCAAAGTTCTATGTCAAATACAGACAGACATAATATTATCCCGGTGGGAAATATGGAGCTCTGTATGTCCATTTTTGAATATGAATACATCATCAAATTTTAGCTCTCATGTATTTATTTGAAGCCAGAGGAATAATTATGCGTTGGTAGTACAGCAGTAGAATGCTCGCCAACCACGCCACACTCGGCCCAGAGTTCTATCCTCGTTCGACTCCTAAACCTCACTAAGCCAGTAGTAAAGCCTGTAAAGATTGAGGGCTGAGTGTGAGGCTAGCAAGCCCAGCCTGTAGAAATGAAACCACTGCTACCAAAGCTCTGACTGGAAGCCCTATGTTACAATCGGAACGTAAAGGGATAAAGCAACGAATAATTAACTGTCATACAAAACTAATGATAATGTGATTCCCTAAATTAGTGAGACACCACACAGCCTGATTCTCTAATATGAATAAGCGGTGTTTTCTGTTTTTGTTTTCGAACGTTGATTTTCACATTCATCAATCTTATATTTTGCCCTTTTTATTTTTATGCATGTATAACATTCATTCAGGTTCTGCGCCTCCACGATTACCTAAAAGGAGAACAAAACCAGTATCAGTTAATAATAATGCAGGAAATAATAGTGATGTTGAAATTATTTCTTCCGTTGAGAATTCTTTCAACTCTACACCGATGCATCGATCACATAATGGTAAAAGTATTGGTTGTAAGCAGAATTCCAGTGATCCTGAATCTGATACGCACTTGAATAATAATCAAATTGTTTCACTTGCCAGTAGTGGATCTACTGTCTTTACGCCTATTTCAGCAGTTGTTTCAGTTGCTGGAGGAGGAGTAACAGCTCCGACAATTAATTTCACCCCCTTAGCAGTAACAATGTCGCCTGCAGGTGTAACTCAAGCAGCTCATTCAATATTTGCTGCAAATGCCTCAGGTTTAATGTTTCCTACAATGACTGCAGCTGCTCATCATCATCTTGTTCAACAACAACAGCAACAACAAGCAGCGGCAGCGGCAGCAGCAACTGTCATGTTACCAAGTGTCAGTATAGCTTCCATGCCAACGATGCATCCGTCAGCCATTTCTTTACAACAGCAACAGCAGCAGCAACAACAACAACAATTTTTCGCTATGGCTGCTATGCCTGCTCTTGCTCAATCGATAGCAGCTAATCAATCATCCAATGGTGGTGGTATCCAGCAAAATCATCATCTTCATCATCAACCTGGAGCATCTGTTCAACCAACACAGACTGCTATTCATTTTCAGCCTGAATTAAAGACTGTAGCTACGCCTTCTGGTCCAATGATGGTATTGACACACATAGCTGCTGCAAACCAAGCCGTCAATCAAGCTCATGGTCTAGTAAGTTGTCGGCTGCCTCTCATATATTTTTCTCTAATCTCCTGGTGTGTATTAATATTTAGTGTTCTACAAAATTTGTGTTTTAGGTAAACTTAAATAACATTGTAACTTTTCTTTTGATGTGCTATAAGTGGTTTGTAGCACAGATGGATGTTTTTCGGGTGTGTGGTGTGTTCTCTATGTCCTTATCACCTTTCAGATAACTTCATCACCAATTTCACTTCAATATTGAGTAGGGGGTGTCTAAAATTCTCCTTATTCATTTATTATTATCATTATTGTTTCCTTTAATTCCTAGACGAGTATAGAGGGCTTCAGCCGTGCGTCTCCATTGCGTTCGGTTCTCTGCTAGAGTCTTCATCTGGCTCCAAGTCTGCCCACACGCTTTCATCTCCTCTTCACATGACCTCCTCCAAGTCACCCTTGCACTGACGACACACACGCCGCTTCCCTTTCGGGTTCCACTCGAGCAATGGCTTGTCTAGTGATGTCACTTGATGGTTTCCTCAGAGTATGGCCAATCCATCTCCATTTATTCCTGCCTATTTGTTGCACAATCGCTTCCTGGTTGGTTTGCTCATCGCCAGGGATCTCTGATGCTGATCTTTTCTGGCCGGCCATGTGGTCTTGAGTATTGAGCGAAGACAGCTGTTAATGAAGGTGTGTAGTTTGTTTGAGATGCTCTTCGTGACGCGGCGCCAAGTCTCTGATCCGTATAGTAAGTAGCACTGACTTCACACTAGAGCTGAAAATCCCGATCTTATTTACATTTTCATGCTGAGTGCTGAGTGTTGACCTCCACACAGACTTGAGAGTAATGAAAGCTTGTCTTGCTTTCCCGATCCTTGCTTTGATATCCTCGTCAGTTCCATCCGCCTGTAGTTGAAACGATGCTACCCAGGTTGGTAGGTAAAGGACGTCGTTTCTTTCAGGTTCCTCCCATTTATGCTGGCTGATTGTTGTCTGTTGTTGCTGTTGGCCAGGAATCTTCATCACCTCTGTTTTCTCTATGTTCAACTGAATTCCTATCTTCTCTGGATGCTTCTTCTGCCAACTTGTTGCTTTTCACTTGCATATTTTCGAGCTTGTGGGAAATCAGACATATATCATCGGCGAAGTCCAGATCCTCCAAGTTTTTTGTGTGAGTCCATTTTATGCCTGTTTCCTCATTGTCCGCTGCCTGTCGCATTATCCAATCTACTGCAATCATTGGCGACAGTAGGCAGCCAGCCAGCTTGTCTTACTCCCGTCTTCACTTCGAATGATTCCGTAAGTTTCGCGTTGTGGATTACTTGGCATGCAGCATTATCGTACAGCTGTTGGATGAGATGTATAATTGTCGGTGGCACCCCGTAGTAGCGGAGTAGTTGCCAAACCACCTCTCGATCGACGCTGTCTGCTGAAGGCCAATTCAAAGTAGATGAAGCTGAGAGAGAGAGGTGACTGCCATTCCAAGCTTTGTTCAATGATGATCCGTAGTGTGGCGATTTGATCAATGCATGACTTGTTTCTCCTGAATCCAGCCTGTTCCGGTCGAAGTCTTTCATCCAGGTTGGCTTGTTTGATTCTCTCCAGGGAGAAAAGTGGAAAAGGGGAAATTAACTAACCGATAGAACAGAAAGCAATAGATGACTTGGACTGATATTTAAGTGACACCATATTTGATGATTGGATTTTATGGCTTTTTTGAGAATCGACTTCAACACTTCAATGCATAATTGATTAGAATAACTGGCTATCTCAAAGATCAAATGAATCACACGTGGTGATACGAAGTTGTCTGGTACTTTCAATTGATGATTAGTATGCTGCTGCCTCTCCGAATCAGCAGTAGGCAATACTGATTCAGTCTTACTGGCAGTTTCATTTCTTTCTACTGTTGTTGTTGTTGTTGATGGTGGTGGTGGTGGTGGTGGCGATGAATCATCCGCCATTTGCACGGATCTACTGTGTGTGTGTTGTGCGACTTATGCTCTCTTGTCCGTATTGTGTTTCTTTGTCTTCTTCTTCTCTTCGTGTCGCCCACATGGTTCGCTGCACTACACTGGTTCACATCTGCTCTCTAATAAACGTCAAATCTATTTCTCTGAAATTGGATAGTTTAGTGCCGATCAGTGTCTCGTTGTTTACTACTGATAAATCTTGTCAGTAGCATATACGCCATGTTACGATTCCAGGATATTCTTCTCTATGTACAATATAATATAAGTAGTGGAGAAGGGGTACAATGTATACGAGAAGTAAGAATAGTGAATTATAAGCTATATAGAGACACTACATATATTATATTGTACATGGGGAAGAATATCCTGGAATCGTAACATGGCGTATATGCTACTGACAAGATTTATCAGTAGTAAACAACGAGACACTGATCGGCACTAAACTATCCAATTTCAGAGAAATAGATTTGACGTTTATTAGAGAGCAGATGTGAACCAGTGTAGTGCAGCGAACCATGTGGGCGACACGAAGAGAAGAAGAAGACAAAGAAACACAATACGGACAAGAGAGCATAAGTCGCACAACACACACACAGTAGATCCGTGCAAATGGCGGATGATTCATCGCCACCACCACCACCACCACCATCAACAACAACAACAACAGTAGAAAGAAATGAAACTGCCAGTAAGACTGAATCAGTATTGCCTACTGCTGATTCGGAGAGGCAGCAGCATACTAATCATCAATTGAAAGTACCAGACAACTTCGTATCACCACGTGTGATTCATTTGATCTTTGAGATAGCCAGTTATTCTAATCAATTATGCATTGAAGTGTTGAAGTCGATTCTCAAAAAAGCCATAAAGTCCAATCATCAAATATGGTGTCACTTAAATATCAGTCCAAGTCATCTATTGCTTTCTGTTCTATCGGTTAGTTAATTTCCCCTTTTCCACTTTTCTCCCTGGAGAGAATCAAACAAGCCAACCTGGATGAAAGACTTCGACCGGAACAGGCTGGATTCAGGAGAAACAAGTCATGCATTGATCAAATCGCCACACTACGGATCATCATTGAACAAAGCTTGGAATGGCAGTCACCTCTCTCTCTCAGCTTCATCTACTTTGAATTGGCCTTCAGCAGACAGCGTCGATCGAGAGGTGGTTTGGCAACTACTCCGCTACTACGGGGTGCCACCGACAATTATACATCTCATCCAACAGCTGCACGACAATGCTGCATGCCAAGTAATCCACAACGCGAAACTTACGGAATCATTCGAAGGGAAGACGGGAGTAAGACAAGGCTGGTTGCCTACTATCGCCAATGATTTTCCTGATTGCAGTAGATTGGATAATGCGACAGGCAGCGGACAATGAGGAAACAGGCATAAAATGGACTCACACAAAAAACTTGGAGGATCTGGACTTCGCCGATGATATATGTCTGATTTCCCACAAGCTCGAAGATATGCAAGTGAAAAGCAACAAGTTGGCAGAAGAAGCATCCAGAGAAGATAGGACTTCAGGTGAACATAGAGAAAACAGAGGTGATGAAGACTCCTGGCCAACACCAACAACAGACAACAATCAGCCAGCATAAATGGGAGGAACCTGAAAGAAACGACCTCCTTTACCTACCAACCTGGGTAGCATCGTTTCAACTACAGGCGGATGGAACTGACGAGGATATCAAAGCAAGGATCGGGAAAGCAAGACAAGCTTTCATTACTCTCAAGTCTGTGTGGAGGTCAACACTCAGCATCAAAATGAAAATAAGATCCGGATTTTCAAATCCAATGTGAAGTCAGTGCTACTTACTATACGGATCAGAGACTTGGCCAGCGAGTCATAAAGAGCACCTCAAACAAACTACAGACCTTCATCAACAGCTAGCTGCCTTCGCTCAATACTCAAGACCACATGGCCGGCCAGAAAAGATCAGCAACAGAGATCCCTGGCGATGAGCAAACCAACCAGGAACTGATTGTGCAACAAATAGGCAGGAGTAAATGCAGATGGATTGGCCATACTCTGAGGAAACCATCAAGTGACATCACTAGACAAGCCATTGCTCGAGTGGAACCCGAAAGGGAAGCGGCGAGTTGGTCGTCAGTGCAAGGGTGACTTGGAGGAGGTTATGTGAAGAGGAGATGAAAGCATGTAGGAAGACTTGGAGTCAGGTGAAGACTCTAGCAGAGAACCGAAGGCGGTGGAAACGCGCGGCTGAGTGGGTAAACCTTGAATACTAACTTCTACCAATTCGTGATTTTAGCGTGACTGACATCAACCAATATCATCGTTGGCGAGTATCTGTCTTCACCCGCAATCTGGGGGATCCAAGTGTTTACGACCGCTCCCTAGAACGAACTGCAGTCAAATTTGTCATTTAGCCAGTCACTACTATCAAGCTTGAAATCAGTTTCAAAGAATTAGTTCATAGGGATTTAATTTTTTTAAAGTTAGATCACCGATCGATATCAGTTTCATGGTCCCGTCCAGTACTCGACTGCTGATTTTCGATGGTTCTCTAACTGAAATCAATCCGTGCTCAGACTTGAATCCATAAATTAATCATAAAACACAATTCCTTTTTTTTTCTTGTCAAGGGAAATCGTAAATCGGACTGTTTTTCGATAATATTTTGTTCATCAAATTACTTTTCACGCTTATACTCAAGTAATAGTATGAATTTACGTGCATATAAACGTTGTTGTTTTTCGTGTTCTCATATATTTTAGACTGGTCAGGCTATTTTCCCTCAGGTTGTTGGATTTCATGCGACAGCAGCTCAGCAACAGCAAATACAACAATTCCAACAACAACAACAACAGCAGCAAGCAGCTGTTGTTCAACATCAACAGCAACTGCTACAACAACAGCAGGCTAATTATGCAGCGGCTGTGGCTGCAGCTGGCACACATTTAGTTACAGTTGCTGGTCAAGCTCAGGGTAATTGTAATCAGGCGCCTGCTAATCAAACTCAGCAGTTCCAACTGCACCATCAAGCTACTCAACAATTGCAACAACAACAACAACAGCAGCACAGCAACAACATGCAGTCGCATTGGCAGCACACCAACAGGCGGCACATAGCTTTCTGTTTCCCGCAGCTAACCAAACGGGTGTTACCGGTGCTCCAACCACTTTCTTCTGTCATCCACAGGATGGAATGACAGCTGGTTTAATCTTCGCCTCATCTACTGATCCTGCTAGTTTTGCAATAGCTGCAGCTGCACAAGCTCAGGCTGCTGCAGCCGCTGCCGCTGTTCAACAACAACAACGTCAACAGAATAATGTGAATACAGTTAATAATCAGAATGCGTCTGCAATTGCTGCTGCAACTCAACTACAAGTGGTGGCTGGTTATACTCCATCGGATGCTGCACAACAGCAACTACAACAGCACCAACAATTATTATTACATCAACAACACCAGCAGAGATTAGCAGCTGTAGCTGCCGCCGCTGCAGCAGCAGGAGTTTCTCAAGGGGCTATTGCCACTCCTCATTCTGGAGTGTTAGTATCCTCGAATACTGGAACACTAATCAATGGTACATCAGCCTCTGTAATTGTAAATTCGAATCAGGAAGAACAACTTGCTCGTGTCCAACAATCAGCGCAATTTTTAATGGGACAACAAGAAGGAAGTACTGCAGCCGCCGCCGCAGCAGCAGCAGCAGTCAGTAATTACCAGTTAGCAGCATTCACAAATGCCGCTGCAGCCGCAGCTTTGTACCAACAACAACAACAACAGCAGCAACAACAACAACAGCATCCCGGTTTTATGCTTGCAGCGGCGGCGGCAGTAGCAGCTAACGCTGGAGCTAACAATCAGAATGGTACTGTCATCTCAAGAGGAGGGTCGGCGACTGTCGGGGCAATGACTCTACAACAACAACAACAGCAGCAGCAATATCAACAGCAGGCTGGTCTGATGGCTGCCGCTGCTTATCACCATCAACAGCAACAGCAACAACAACAACAACAAGCGGCTCATCAGCAAGCATTGCAACAACAGAATAATATTCACGCGGGAGTCCAACAACGTTGATGAAACAACTAGTATTATTATAATATCCCTTCAATATGTTATTCTAGTCCTTCAGTCTATGGAATCAAGCTTCGAATCTCTCCTGAGCATACATATACATATAATATACATAGGCAGTCGTTGTAATTATATTGATGCTACTATTTTTTCTACTGATCTTTACTTTTTCTAACTTGTCAGATATTATTGGATTGCATTTGTTTTTAATATTTAATATTTTCTTCTTTTGCTTTCATGACGTCAGTCGTCACACAGTAACTACTCTCTACCAGTGTATGTGTGTGCGAGTGTGTTGGTCACCATTTCCCTCCTTCTGCAATCACTTCACCATTTCATGATCTATGGTGTTAAAATAGTCCGGACGACAATGACTGTGTCTATACTTAATCCATATCTCATTGAATCTTCCCCTGTACATAAACTTAGACCAAATATCTACCCATCTATCTTCCTATCTATCCTCCTGGAATGGTTGTATAATGAGGAAGTGTATTTCTGCTGGCAATATAATCACTGATCATTTGATTTAAGAACTGTCTATCCATCCATGTTACTATCTTTGTTGTTTAAATAACGAGTGATTAGTATTAATTATTAAAGCGGTATTATTATTGTATAGAATACTGTAACTATCCCTCTCTGTTCTGACGCCCTCAATTTTGTCTCTTCTGCCGTCCCCTCCTTGCAGACATGTAGAGTAGTTTTGTTAGTCGATCTATCCCGACAACTTTATTGTCGTTTTCATTTTTTTTTTGACTTTTGCCAACATGACTAATATTTTTTTGCATTGATCTCAATTATTAATCCTCAAGGACTGTACATTATCGCATCTACACTCTTCCCCCCTCCCCCATTAAACCTCCTCTTCTATCTAAATGAAAATGGGTAAATTCCTTGCCTTGATAATGAATATGCGGATGGAAGATAATTCTCTTTGTAAATTTCTTACCTTATACTTTTTACTTAATTTAGTACATATAATATATTTTTAGTGTTTTATTGTGCCGCTGTATTCTCTTCCTATCATTGTTGTTGTTCTTGATGATGTATATTCAAGTTGTGCTTCGATTCAGTTGCGTGCATGCCTATTCTCTCTGCCAAACGTTTCTTTGTACTTTGTCTTTCTTAGCCAGTGTAAATATGATTCTCTTTTCTTACGCATGTATATTCTCTCCTTCTACTGACATATACACCACAGCGCTTCTTTCACGCGCGTGTGTGTTTGTATAACAGGTTGAAATGTGTATTTCTGAAAGTGATTTATTCTTTCCCTTGTCTTGTGTAAACAAACCTACTGCGGATGTGTGTGTATGCGTGTGTGTTTGTGCGTGGGTGGGCGTGTAAGTGCGTGCGAGCCCAAGTGTGACATATTCTCCTCTCCACCCTCCTTAATCTTCTCTCACTTGTTTTGTTGTGTGTTTACTATACACACCAAACTTCCTATTTATATTTTTACTGATTCGAGTGTGTGTGTGTGGCGAGGGGACCTATCTAGTCTCTACATCCTTGTCCCTTTGTTCATGTGTGGGTGCGTGTATGCATGTATGTGCGTCTGTGTACCACTAGTGTTGATGAGACTATACATTTCACTGACAGTCTGTTGTAATCCCCACTTATTTTCTTTACTGACACACTGTGTCCACTACTTTTTTGGTCGCCAATAATTTGTACATTATGACAACAGTAATAAGAATTAGCTATTGTGAAATAAAAGTAATATTGTATACCTAATATTATTATTATTATTAATATTACTATTACTATTATTACTATTCTTGTGACTAATAATTGTGAATCCATATGACTGCTATGACTATTACTATACTACTATTTATTATAATAATAATTATTATGATCATTGCCTTATTTTTTACACGGATATTGTAGTATATGCTGTTGCGCATATATATTTATATATATTTTTTGTTTTCTTCTCTTTTGTGCTCTCTACTCACAGTATTTTCTTTTGTCTGCTTACTGGTTCCTTTTCTTTTGCCTTTTTGTGGTTTCTTTCAATGTCCTTGATAATAATGACTACGACGACGACGTCGATGATGTCCATCGACACACATATGTATACATAAACCGTGTATATCGATCTATCAACACTTATTACCCCCCCAACCCCCCTATTTATTATTATTATTATTATTTACACAAATATATAATATATGACAATAATAAATCTGCATTAACATAAAGATTCTTCTTTGTGTTAATTGTGAATATATATAAAGATATAACTACTACTTCACTTAATTTTTGTTTTTTTTTGGTTACAAATTGGCGATATATTTCTCAGATATGCGTGAAAATGACTTTTGTGTAAATGCGTGGGTGTGTGTGTGTGTCGGTGAGTGAGTGAGCGGGAAAGGAAGGAGTCGGACAACGACACGTTGTGTGTGTGTGTGTGTGCTTTTCCCATTTTTGTGCCAACTTACGTTGTCTCCGGTGCAGCAGTTTGCTCTGTTGTGCTTTATGACTATGAGACATGGTCATTGGAAGTGGCAGATATGAAAAGGTTAGTTAGCTGCATTTGTTCTTAGGTGTCTAACTTTCTATTTCCCATCTTAGGTAGTATAATAAGGTGAATAATATTGAGGATCGGCGTTGGATGTTAGGCAAGGGGCGGGGGGAAACCAGTCAATGAAGTTGTGAAGATGCATCGATTGAGATGATTAGGATATGTGTTATGCATGCCTCGCCGTCAGTCACCTTCCACGACGACTGGAAATGTTAGCTGACGTACATAGAATGGATCAGGTTGGAGAAGAGCTAGTGGTGGTCTGACGAAAGTATGACAGCAGTCCATGAGGTTTTCAACTGTTAGTTCGAGTCACTAGGGGGCTGTAGACTATCTGGTTAATGTCCTCAGGATACTGAAGACCAATGGCGACTGGAGACAAGTGGTGATATGGTTCAAAATTGTTTGCAATGGCTCAGATACATTCATGCTGTGTAGTCTACTTTACCCACTAAACCCTATTGTTTTCAATGTTACTGTCTTTTCTTGCTCACACTTCTGTTTATTATCGTTCCTTGAAATCTCTGTTTTTTCTTTTGTGTGCTACATGGAATGTGACAACTCGAACTACTGCACATCTGTGCAAATTTCTATGTTGAAATCAATCAGTTGGTGTTTCCCTTTCAACTACACGTCTTCTATAAAGCTGTGTGCTTGCGTGTCGTTGGCATATAAATATAAGCAGCTCAACAGGCTTTAACTTTAAGATCTGTCCGTATGTATTTTACCGCACTGATGCTTACTGGTTGGCTGTTTTCAATCTACACTTAGAGTTTTGTTCCGTTATTCTTTTTACTGTCTTTTAAGTTCAGCAGTTCGAAAAAAATGACAGAAACAAACCGCTACTCTGTGATAAAGATGATTTTACATTCGTACTAAAGACACCTTACCTCAGCTAACGCCGAATAAGCCGACTAATCAGAGTATTTGATTATGAATAGTCTCCTCATCCCAATCTTAGGATTGGTGAAGATAGGTGAGCGAAATGCAAGTGAAACGTTCTCAAATTAGGATGCATTCCTAACCGTCTACATTTTGTTAACATCATTCGACAAGAATGTATCATCTGTATTCTTAATCTATGCTTGTAATAATGACGACGTTCTGTAAAGTCACTCTTATCAGTAGACAGACATGGTACCTAGACTGACAGCTGCAATCTCATTGGCTATTCTAGTTTGACTGTTTTCAGTAAATTTCAGCGAAGAGTTTTACCTTCCGGCGATATTATTCTTAAGCTGTGCAATCGCATATATATAGTAAATTTTCTTAGCAATTCTTGTAGGTCTGCTAGCTATTAGGCAGTGGGGTGAATTAGTCATATTGAGAATGGGTGGAAGAGGTATGTCTTTTTTGTGCACTTTCGGTAATCCATAATGTCGGGCTGTATTTGAGCCGGACGGCCTCAGTGATTCGAAGGTTTCAGCATCGATGAATGATACAATTTTTAGTTTTTGATATGGTTGTGTTCTCTGAGCTGGATAGTTAATTTGCGAAGCTTTCATCGCCTAGTAGGGTGCAACATCCACCGCGATAACTTCCGACGTGGGTCTCTTGCGGTTCTCAGACACTGCAATGGCAAATGATCAGTCTCAATGGGGAACCGTTGACCAAGTAAACAGGGTCTCCATTTGCCTAGCGCCACACAACCGCCAAACACTCCTTCTCAGTTGTTGAATACTTCTGTTCCGTGTGCGTTAAAACACGGCTGGCGTATTCGACGACTCCGTCACCCTGTCTGAGTAATGCGCCTATTACGTATTCGCTAGCATCGGTAGGCACTATAAGCGGCTCTCCCGGCACCGGTAGTCGCAGTGTTATTCTTTGGTGGTCCATCAGCTGTTTGATGCGGTCAAAATACCTTCTGCGAGTCTTCCGACCAGACAAACTTCGACTCGCCTAATAGCCGGTAGAGCGGAGCCGCTACTGTGTTGAAGCTTTTCACGAATCGACTATAGAACGCTGCTCTCCCCAAAAACTGTCCTTATTTCCTCTTCGAATTCAATGGACTTGATAGTTAAAGTTTTTTCCGCCAGTGGTGTTTTCTCGCCATTTCCCACCTTATGACCCAAAAGCGTAACGTTCTTCTTAGCAATCTGAGATTTCCACTTGTTGATACATAGACCGAATGCTTCGATGCGCCTTAGAACTGCCTCTACATGATCTACGTGGTCAATCCCGCTCCTACTGTATATCACTAGATCATCTCCATAAACTTCGACGTTCCTCAAATTCTTAAGTAGCAACGTCATTGATCGTCTAAATGTAAACGGGGCACCTGCCAATCCAAAAGGCATGCGTTTGAACCGATACTGTTTTTGTTCCACAAAGAACGCCGTCTTATCTCTATCTCCTCGTTCTATAGGCAGTTGCCAGTACCCCGATCGCAGATCTAAGACTGTGAACAGCTTCGCACTTTGTAGGTGATCTAAAGTTTCTGCTATTGTTGTCATCGCACACAGTCTCACCTCTGTTA